TTGTTATTTTATAATCTAATTTTTTTATTTAAATATTTTTTATTTAAAATTTTACTTTGTTATTTAAATTTTTGAGCCTATTAATCAGTTATTTTATTTTTAAAAAAATATTGATTTTTACAGCGAGAAGAAGGGAGAGGGAGAGAGAGAGAGAAACATCAATGGGAGAGCAAGACCTCCATCTGTTGGTCTCCATACCCCACCCCCTGGGGATCTAGCCCACAACCCAGGCACATGCCCTGACCTGGAATTGAAACAACAACCCTGTGCACAGGAGACATCCAACCAACTGAGCCACACCCTCCAGGGCACAGTTATTTTTTAATACATCGTATACATCCAATATGTGGATTCTCTGTGGACCTGTTTCTATGGTCTGTCATTTCTCTTGATTTTTGTCCAATTATTGTCTTTTTTCATATCTTTTTATTTTTTATTTTTTGGTAGATGTTGTATAGAGGGAGTTGGAGGACCTTGATGATTTCTTCTTCCAGAGAATTTTTTATTGTTGCTTCTAGAAGACAGAGAAGCTAGGGAACATTCATCTTAATTCAGTCAGACAATAAGCTGGTTTAATGCAGGCTACACCCTTTGCAGAAGTTTTCTGTTAACCCCTTCTTTCAGGGCAGTAGCCTTTCAGCCATCTCATACCAAGTCTGTGGCCCCACCTCCTTGGTAAACCCTGAATTCCATGTTTTGTCTCCCTAGCCCTATTAAACTAGTTATAGTTCTTTTTTTAAAAAATATATCTTTATTGATTTCAGAGAGAGGAAGGGAGAGGGAGAGAGAGAGAGATAGAAACATCAATGATGAGAGAGTCATTTATTGAGCCCGAAACCTGGGCATGTGCCCTGACCAGGAATCAAACCCCGATCACCTGGGTCCTAGGTCTACACTCATCCGCTGAGCCATGCCCGGCTGGGCTAGACTAGTTATAGTTCTATTCAGCTTCTTGACAAAAGTTTTGGTTTAAGCAAAAGTCTTTTTGAGAAAAATAGTGTTGAGTTGTGTTTATCACTCTGAGATTTCCTTCTCTCTGGAGTTTTGGCTTATTGAGTTCTAACTACCTTTGTAATTCCCCAAGTGTTTATTGTATTGTGTTTGGTTTTTATTTTTGGTTTTAGTAGAATAATTGGTTTGAAAAAAGGTCAATAGTAGAAGTGAAAAAATCAGTTTATCTGGTTGTAAAGTGAATTCCCTTAAATCAGAGATTGTCAAGTTTTTTTTTGTAAAGGGCTAGTTAATAAAATTGTAGGCTTTGAGGGCTACATGTCTCTGTCACAACTACTCAACTGTGTTGTACAGTACAAAAACATTCATATACAATAGCTAAACTTACAGCATAGCTGTGTTCCAATAAGAAGTTATAAAAAAAAACATGTGGCCAACTGTATTTTGCTAATCCCTTCTTTAAATGGGGGAAGAATACAACTTTTAAAAAGGTGGTTGGATTTAGTCAAGAAAACATTTATTGCCACAGCCATCAATATTATTTTTTAAAAGATTGAACTCCAGAGTAGGATCTTGAGTTCTGTAGGGTGATATAAAAGAATTAAAAGTCATAATTTCTAATCTATCTCAGGGACTCACTGAAGAAACAGATTTATATAAATAAAAATGTGTACAAAACAAATGTACTGATTAATATAATATAGACTAAGTGCATAAGTGCTTAAAGGTTACTAGTTCAAAAACAAATAAAGCTGTTTCAGTCTCTTTATTCCTCACCACTAGTCTTGTTACCTTCCCTATAACTTCCCAATTTGAGCAAATATGAATGTGATTTGAATATGAAGGTGCCCTTCAGTAGTCAGGATGACAGGATGGGGTCCTGCCTCCTGAGAGAGCCAGCTCTTTGACAAACCCTCCACCCTATTAATAAATCACCATGATATGCACTACTTCTTTCACATCTTTTATACTAAATTTATACTATACAAACGAATGAATGGATCTCTCATTTTCACCTATAATCTTGCCTACCTATCAGTAAACCCAAACTTTCATTTAATCTGAAGAGGATTTGAACTTGAAGATTAAAATCTTTTGTTTGTCGCCTTCTGTTCTCCAGACATAAGCCCTGACTTCCACCTCAGCCTCTTTTCTAGCCTTCTTATTTTCAAACCACTATTTGAAGCCCCCTCACCCCTAATGTACCAGGCTGCTTCTCACCTCATCTGCACTTCTTATTTTTTCTGGGAACTTTTCCCTCGAGATCAAGTAAAATCTTGATCATAAAAGTCAGCTCTATTATAATAGCTTCTTCAATAAATATTTCCAATTCCTTATTAATCACTATAATCACTATATTTTAAAAGTGTTTATTGAGAAAGCCTTCACATTATTATTTAGTTCTTCACATCCCTTCAGTGATAAACACAGCAAACAGATTTTATGATGGAGAGATCTAGGGTACCTGGGGTATGCAGGCTTAATGTTTGTTATATCCACAGTCAAGGTCCCTGGGATTCCATGAGGCAAAGCTAAGGCCGTAGACATTCACCTATTCAGCCAATATTTATTAAGAACCCACTATGTACCAAGGTAAACTATGTATCTCACTATGTATCAGTGTGCAAAACAAACAAAAAAGTCTATTTCATGGAGCTTATACTTTAGTGGGGTGAGATTATTCAGTACATATAGTTATATGTATAGCCTGTCCTATGGTGATAAGAGCTATGAAAAAATGAAGCAAGTGGAGGGTCAGGAAGGCGTCAGTGGAACACTGGTTTGAGAGGTTGCTATGATGCGTTGGTCAGGAAAGGCCTTTTTCATCAAATGATTTATGAGTATACAGCTGGCTATAAGGATATATAAGGCTATAAGCATATATAAGACTATAAGGCTGCTGACTGAGGTGAGAAGACAATTCTTGGGAATAGATGGGGGGGAAACTATCCAGACAGAAGGAAATGTAAAGGCACTAGTTATGTGAACACACTAAGCTGAATGATTAGAAACTGTACCAGATACATTTCTGCTACATAATTTAGTGTGTGACTATTTCCGCCAAGAAGAGAAAAATGTTTAATAACAGAAAGAACACCTACTTTTGTTAACTACCAACATATAAACATTTACAAATATCAATAATTTATTAAAATGTCAGTCTTGAAACCAGTACTGTCAATTCTAAGATTTTTTAGCCATGAACCTTTCATTTTTACATAGCATATGCCATAGACTAACGTTTGGTGAAAATATGTCCCTTCACTGAAAGCTTAGGTTTGATTCTCCATCATTAGAGTTCCTTGGTTCATTCAGTTGGTCACTACTGATTTTATGATCCTTAAAAAAAAAATGTTCCAGCTTTCCTGAAGCATAAAATATACTTGGGGCACTGGTCATGCTTCAGTCAATTCAGGTTATGACAACACAACATAGATTGAGTGGCTTAAACAACATTTTGTATTACAGTTAACATGGTGAGAAAGTTTAATATTGAGGAGTTAGCTGATTTTGTTCCTAGTGAGAGCTCTCTTGTTCATGGCTGTCTTCTTGTTGTATCACCCATCACATGGCAGAAAGAGAGAGAGAGAGCACGCTCTGGTCCCCTCCATTTCTTGTAGGGCTCCACCTTCATCAGGGCTCCACTAGTAAGACCTCATCTAACTCTAATTATCTCCCAAAGACCTCACCTCTACGAAACATTACATTGGGAATTAGAGTTTCAACATATGAATATGAGGGGACACAAACATTTAGTCCATAACAAGACATAAGTTTTCCTCTTTCAGAAATTTGTATATTTAAGCAAGAAATTTTATATAGATATCAGGTTAATAAAAGATAACAGAGAAATTTAAGTGATGGCGATGATGTGGTCTCTCGGTTCTTGACTTTGTACAGGAAAAATTTCACATTACAAGTCCAGGTGATTTTGAGAGCACTTATTAAAGCTGAGGACAGTGAAACAAAGGAAGGACTTAAGATAGAAGAGGAAAGATCATAGCCACAGGAGTGAGCCTAGGTGGAGCTGTTTTGGCTCTTTGGAAACATGAGGAAGAGTTGAGCCTGGGCGTGGCTGCCTTGGCCCTTTTGAAAGAAAGTCACAGAGGCAAAAGAAGCAAGCCAGCTGGACTGCATAAACACAAGAAATAAGTTACAGAGGCAAAAGAAGGGCCACTGAAGACAGGTTCTGGGGGTTAGCCCAGGATGAGCTACTCCCTGGTTGTAATATTCCTGGGAACCTTTAGAGCTTAGGAGAAAGAAAAGCAGACACAAACCTGAGGAAAGAAGTGGGGAAAGGCCACAGGCAAGAGACAGAGAGAGAGAGAGAGAGAGAGAGAGAGAGAGAGAGAGAGAGAGAGAGAGAACTGGGTCCTTTGCCTTAAGAGGTTTTATCTGTTTTCTAAAGGCAAGAATTTTAGGGGAGGTCTCAAGGGAGAATCTCAATAGAATATTCATCAACTTTCCAGGTGTGTCCTTTCAGGGTCATGGTCTCCACTGATTGGTCAGTGTTATGGTAGGGAGCCATTGATTAATGCTTAAGGGAGTGGTGGTACAAGGGAGAAGGAGGCAGGTGAGTCAGGGTGCTGAATAAGGCCAGTTTGAATTAGCTGTCTCAGTTTCCCCATTCAACTTGCCAAGGAATTTTCCTCACTTCTTACTATTCTGTCTCAGAACTAGAGCCATGAAAAAATCCAGGTGGTGAAAAGAAAAATTAAATACAAAATACATTTAATTACTTATATTTCAACTTGTAGTGAACACTTAATAAAATGTTTGCTCATTATTAATTGATGTGCCTGTCACACACGTCACTATACTTATTACATACATACTTACTAGTGTTTCTATTTTGTTTATATCTTTTACATATTTAAGAAATTATTATCATGACTGACTAAAAGGAATGAATGGAAGATGAGTATAGGCTTATTAGTGTATTGTGTCAACCACTGTCACTCAGAATATGTGATTTTTTAAAAATCTTGTATAAAATACTTTGTGCATTGTTAATAATTAACCTCTTATCTCTTGTCACTTTCTTTTAGGGATTTTTTATCCTGAATTGTCCAGACTTAACACCTTTGGCTTTCCAATTGATATATCTTAACTTATCATTTAATGATATCAGCTCCTTTCCCACAGAAGTAAGTCCATTTTTATTATTGTATATACTGTAATAATTTTTATTATGAATAATAATTATAATAAAAAATAGGCACAGGATACCCTGGAGTTAAAATATGTAAATATATTTTGGATAGCATCCCAAAAGGCTTATTTTCAGAAGTACAAAAAGTACAGTACTTTCTTACGAAGTCCCATGACATTATCTGCAAAAACTGTAAAATAGTCAGGCTCTCAAATAGTTCTCATAATTGTACTGTGTATAGGAAATAACTTATTTTATTCTTCTAAGCCTGAATAAAACCTAAAATAAACTTATTTATGTGTTAATCAGAAGGTTTAAAAACAAAGTTTAGTGACCAGGTAATATGATGCTATAACAAGTTTTAGTTATCATAGGTCAAAATAAGATATTCTGCATAATAAAACATATGTAGAATAATCACATATGGGAATGAGGTAGTTCATTGTCATTTTAAATAAATGGGTCATTATGAGTAGTTAGGACAGATTATGTTTTCTGTGTCTTTATACAGTTCATTGGTCACTTCCTTTTTATTTCAAATATATAGTATTAAAAACATTTTTCATAATTTCTCTGCAATAAAATATGTGTGTGTGTATATGTGTATATATATATATTTGTCTTTATTGTTGAAAGTATTACAGATGTCCCCTTTTTCCCATCTTGACCCCTTCTACCCACACCACCCTACTGTCTGTGTCCATGGGTTATGCATAATATGCATATAAATTCTTTGGTTAATCTCTTCTCACTCACTCACCCACTCCCACCTTCCCTCTGAGATTCCTCAGTCTGTTCCATCCTTCATTGCCTCTGTATCTATTTTGTTCACCAGTTTATTTTGTTCATTCAAAGCAATAATCAAAAAGCTCTTAGCAAACAAAAGCCCTAGTTTGGATGGCGTCACAGCAGAGCCCCACCAAGCATTCTACTTCTCACTACAGTAGACCCTTTAACATTTCTTGCATTGCTGGTTTGGTGATAAACTCCTTTAGCCTTGTTTTGTCTGGGAAGCTCTTTATTTCACCATCTATTTTGGATGATAGCCTTGCTGGATAAAGTAGTCTTGGTTTCAGATCCTTGCTTTTCATTACCTTGAACACTTCATGCCATTCTATTCTGGCCTGTAGAGTTTCTGATGAGAAATCAGCTGACAGCCTTATGGGAGCTCCTTTGTAGGTAACAGATTGCTTTTCTCTAGCTTCCTTTAAGATTCTCTCTTTGTCTTGGATTCTTGGCATTAATTAGTATGTGTCTGGGCATGGACCTCTTTGAGTTCTTCTTTCTTGGGACTCTCTGTGCCTCCTGAACTTGTGTGACTTTTTCCTTGAGCAGGTTAGGGAAATTTTCTGCCATTGTTTCTTCAAACAGGTTCTCTATCCCTTGCTGACTTTCTTCACCTTCTTGCTTTCCTATGATGTGAATATCGTTACATTTCATGTTGTCCCACAGCTCCCTTAAGCTGTCCTCCTTTTTAATTGTGTTTTCTTTTTGGTTCTCTGATTGATTTTTTCTACCCTGACTTCCAATTCACTGATCGGATCCTCAGGTTCTTCTAATCTGTTTATTCGTTCCAATGTATTCTTTACTTCTTCTGTGTCATTCTTAATTTCCTTCATAGTTTCCATATCTTTTCTCATGCTGTAGAGCATCCTTACAATCAGTATTCTGAACTCTCTATTTGCTGGATTGCTTATCTCCATTTCATTTAGCTTTTCTTCTGGAAAATTCTCTTATTCTTTCATTTGGGGCTTCTTTTTTTTTGGTCTCCCCATTTTGGCTGCCTGTTTGGGTTTGTCTCTATGTATTAGGTAGATCTGCTAGGACTCCCAATCTTTTGGATGGTCTTTGGTGCAGATCAATGTAAGATGCTGTTTGTGACTGGTCCTAAGTACCCTGTTTGGAGGCTTCGGCAATTCACAGCTTGTGGCTTCCTCTGCTGGGACTGGGTGCTTTTAAAAGGACCCAACTGCACACCAAGGTCTGCTTTTCCTAGCTCCAGGTCCAGAAGCAGATCAGGCAAAGACTCAAAGCACCTAGAGATCCACCTTTACCTGCAGGCTGATTATTATTCTCAGTCTTTTAATGAGCCTCAGGCTTTAGACCAAAGCAAGGCATAAACTTTACAGGGTAAGGTGAGAGGTTTTTCAACAGGGTGAGGCAGTTGCTTTTCCCTAAGGCAAAAGCTGCATGGATGATCAAGGTTTGCCTGAGAAAGATGTCCTCTGCTGTATTGGGGAAAAACTCAGCACAGCAATCTGAGCCTTATCTCCGGAGGCCCCAACCCTGCCTTCTCTTCACACAGCTCTAGTCCATTCTGCCCTCCCTCTGCCAGAGTTCAAGGTGAGTGGCTTCCATGGAATTTTGTGCATTGGCTCTTTAAGAGAGTGCTTGCATTTCCAACCATCTCTTCCTGGAAGACAGAAACCCAGCTGTTTTTTACAACCAGATGTTATGTGGATACCTTTCTTAGTTCTGGTGCTCTGGTCTGGGAAGACCAGCTTGGGGTTTAGACCCCAGAGTTCTCAATGGGAACCCCCCAAAGCTGAAATATCCCTCCCAACATTCAGCTGCTGCCTATAGGGGCCTAGCCAACCCTCTTGTGCCTCCATACTTCCTATCAGTCTCTAAGCAATCTCCTCTTTACATCCTTGGTTGTGAAGGTTCTCTTCAGCTAGTATTCAGTTGATTATTCAGGATGTTTTTTCTATATTTTAGTTGTAATTCCAGTTTGGTCCTGGGAGAATCACTGTAGCTTCCACTTAATTCACTGCCATCTTTGAATCTCTGGTAATATTATATTTTTATTTTTACTAGAATAACAACTCTTTTATAAATTTCACTAGGGCAAATTGACAATAATTTCCAAGCAATATAGGTTTTTTTTTTTATGTTAATTTTAACTTTTCTTCTAAATAGTTATAGACGAGGCCTTATGTCTTCCAGGCATACTCTATCCATTAAAAGAAAAATTTATAAATATAAGAGAGCTCTTTAGATGTAAAATTTAAAGTGCTCACTTTTTAAAGTGATAGAAATCAATAGAACTTGTTGTTAACATAAAAAACTGTGTTATAAAACTATAGATAAAATATTCCAACCAGGATGGTAATATCCAGGCTTGGAAGGGCTGTACTGGGGGTAAGCTAATGATACCTATTTATCAGCATAATGTAAATGCAATCAATAGAAGACCAGAGGCTGACATAAATGTGGTGACTGAAATTGTTACAAGTTTCATGGAAAACTCAAGATGGTAGACTAAGGCAGAAGACGGGCTCTATTAAAATTGTTTTGGACAAAAAAAAAAAAAGGAAAGCAGAAATGGTAAACAAGAAGGTTGATATAACAAACCCTGTAAATATATACTCAGTCTTTTTTTAAAATCTTAGATTCTTTAAAAACACATAAACAACAATAATTATAATAATGTGTTGTTTATCTTCCATGAGAAACAAGAAGACTCATTTTGTGTTTAACTTTGCTTGAATAATCTATTGCAATGATAATATTTTAATCTTGTGGAATTATCTTTCATTGAACATCAGCTAGATAAAGAAGATAAGAAATGGCAGAAGGAGGAGTTACTAGTGAAGACTATCACACATTTTTACAGCAGCCTTCTGGAAAAATGGATGATAGTGGTTTTTCTCTATTTAAGTTATAAATAATGCCTTAAAAGTGTGGGTTTTACAACTAATCCCATTTAACAGTCCAGCATATAAGAGGCTCAGGATCAATCCCATGAAAGATTATTTATATTCCATTAATAGAGAACACTGGTTTACAGTTAGAAAATTAGAAAAACAATGGTTCAACTTGAATTCTTTCTTGACAGGTTCAGAATTAATATCAAATACATATCTTGCACTTTTCTTGGCTCAATTACAACAGGAGGTTGTTCTATATTTGTTGTTAAGGGTGACCTGCCAGACTGTGAAGCTGACCAACCCCTGCAGATGATCAGGGTCCAACAGATGCATTGACCAAAAGTTATTGGAGAAGAATTAGTACAACTAAAATAACAGAATCCAGAAAACAAATCTGGAACAAGTCTTAGAAGGAGATGAGTCAGGAGTGTTAGATAAAGATGAGGGTGTTTGCAGCAGGCTTTGGAACTAAGTCACCAACAGATTGACATGGAAGTTGAAGAAGCAGATCTCTCTAGGGCTATTCAGCTCAGTATACAAGGTAGTTGCAAAAATATATCTCAGGATATTCCACAGACATCAAGTACACATCTTACTTCAGAAGAGCTATGGAAAAGAAGAGAAGCCTACTTTGAAATGCAGCAGCAGTAGCAGCAGGATCCACCAGGACAGCTTTCACACCCATGTGAAACACCAACTACAAGTTCTGGAACACTTGGCAGTGATCTTGGTGATGATGAGTGAAGAAGACATGCTTCAGGCAGTTGTCACCAGGACCTTAGAAACTGTTAGAAATAGTTTCATAACAAAAGAAAAAATAATACATTTTACAAAATCTTTAGACTACTCGTACTTTCCAGCATTATCCTGCATGACTAAAGCATAGGGTCCATTTTGATAATATATCAACGAGAACAATGTTTATCAGGAGAAATAAGACTTTTAACTGGGTGGTTTTCAAACAAAAAGGTGAGAAAGTAGAAAAATGAATCAGTTGTAGGACTAAATAATGCTCCTTCAAATACTAGTCAAAGAGGCATTCAGCAATTAAAGAAATTTAAAATCATTTTCTAAATATGCCTTTTTCATTTTTGAGTGTGAAATATCTAACATGTCTAAAATTAGGACTTTTTTTGGGCTCTTTTTGTAGACCAATTAATAAGCTCTTGCTACAGAACATTTTCCATATAGTTTGTTTTCTTTTCCTCCCTTCTATGTTGGTAATTTGGCTCATTTTCATCACTTAATAGTTGATTCCATGTCTCATTAACTAAATTAACCTTTTAAGACAGTGTCTCTTCTCTATGTTGATAATAGTAATGATTCCAGAAAAATAAATGTTCTCCCTCCAACCATGTATTGTGCACTTGGGTGTCTTCTCATGTCATTGTCTCTGATTACAATTTATCTGCTACCTTGTTTTTGTTATTTTTCTACAACTCTTTTAAAAGATGGTAATCTTTTGTGAGGTTTTGCTTCTTAAGCCCCCCACGATGGGATCATTATTTCATAATTCTGGTGCATTCCTAAACTCTGAAATCAGCTTTGCACACATTTTTAAGAATAAATGAGCATTAAAAAAATAATAATGTATTGTTAGGTCTGTAACATATATGGATGTAGTACATATAACAACTACAGTGCAAAAAAGGAACACGGAATAGAGCTATTTGGGAACATTTGCATATCTCACTGGAATTAAGTTAGTGTAAATCTGAAGTAGACTGAATACAAAAATCAAGCTTCCATGACATGCTGTCTACAAAAGATATACTTAAGATAATAGATACAAAGAGGTCACAGGTAAAAATGTGGAAAAAATTTATCATGTAAACAGCAACCATAATAAAGCTGGAGTGACTATACAAATATGAGACAAAATAGATTTTAAAACAAAAGTTACTAGAGATAAAAGGGGACATTTTGTCAATCTATCAGGATAATATAATTGTATATATATATATATATATATATAT